ATTCAGAGGTTTGTTTCTAAGTGCAATGTAAATGTTTGAAATTGCGGAAAACATGTGCAAAGACTGAGAACAATGCCGTACTGAATTTCAGTACGGCACATTAAACTGTTTTTGGTTTTTTTGTTTTTTTTTGTCATTTTAGCAATCCTGATTTTTGGGCCATGGCTAAAACGGGGTCCAGAGACTCTCTTGGGGTCTGCATGGCCCTCATGAAATCAGAACTTGAGCGCCTTTGTTCACATCAGTAGCTATCCAGCACATTTGCGACATGCTAGTATCCCTGTATGCCGAAAATGTACATTGCCTTCAGTCTCCTGGTGTGGTTTCTTTAAAGCGCCTTGTTGTCAGCCATGAGTGCATGCATGTCATTGAATGATGGTTTAGAATTTCTCATTGGTCTGGCTGCTTTTGAGTGCCTCGTTGTTGCAGCATGACAAAGACCCGTTGCAACGTGGGGGGAGTGTAGTCGATAAGTTTCAGATGTCTTAGTCGGCTTTCCCTGGCATTACGTTTGCTTCTTGGTGAAATCCTGATGGTTTTGTGATAACACAAACTACTATTATTCCTTCCCCCTTGTCCAGCTGAACGAAAATAGCCCCCAACCCCTAACCATTGTCAATGATTACGTTTCAGCAGGTGAGGACCTCACCCCATCGCCAACTTCATTTCGGCACACGATGGCCCGTCGACAGCATCATTGATTGTGTTGCACCACCTGCGCCACAACTTAGACCTACTTTTAGTCGGTCTAATATCTAGTCTACTTTCTGTCAGTAGGAAATACCTTTGGTCTATCAAAATGCCCAGCGTGGCGCAGCGCAGTCTACCAAACTCCAAAACACACTAAACTGAACTTGTCCCGGCACGAAAATGAAGATTTGCCAGTTTTTACGCCAAGCGCGCATGCACCTGTCGACAAAAATAGAGCCCCAGGTCTTGTGTTCTTTTTGTAATGAGCACCAAACATACCTTGGCATTCATTTCACTGGACAAAAACACATGTTCCCATCTTTGTTTTGAAGATTTTGTTGATGTTTCTGGCCACCACGTATCTTCAAATGCTGAGTAGTTTTACATTGTTCTCGTTTAATTTTGTGAAACCAGTCAAAAATGGACATGATATTCATTCACTTTGCGTTATTTCCTGTGGGGAAACATTTTGAAATTAGAGGTTAATCTAGAGGATTGTTTCCCACTTTTAAGGTTCCAAGCTAATGGCTTAAAACCAAGAATGGGAGTAAAGAGGAAGTGGAGAAAAACAGATGGTTTGGCGGCAGGGAGGGGCGGTAGTAGCGTACAGGTGGGATAGAAGGCGGAATGATGGAAAATGTCTTTGTCCTTCATCCTTCTAATGATGTGATGATGTCCTTCCTCTGGTCAAACCCCACACGCTGCTGCTTGGTGCCAAATGCAGTCCCTGCCTTCTACGCCTCCCAAGGTCCATGCTGGTGTTGAAAAGGGGGTACCACCATATGGTAGCCATCACATCTGGCGCGGTACCAGCGAGGAGGATAAAGGTTTGTCGGCAGAGTGACTACGCTTAAGTGGAAAAACTCTGTCAAACATTTCTTCTATTCTTGACTCATCCGCCATCCAGAATTTCCAGAAATAGTAAGAGCGGGAAGTACTACTTCCGGAAGCAGACGCTTTTTATGACTTTACCTGAGCTGGGGAAGAAAATAATTCCCAAGAATGCATTAGGTGTTGTCAAGTTAAGGCTTGATGGATATGCCTGAAATAAAATGCTGATCTGAACAAAGCCACTTTTTTCTTTTTCTTTTTTTTTTTTTGAGGGAGGCATTCATTTGTCTGTTAACATGTAGCTTGTCAGGACATTTTTGAACCCGAACTTTGTTGCTCAGCATCCAATTTTCTCAAACTTTCATCCGTCCAGTCTGCCACATCGCGATACATGTCCATAAAGCCGAGAACAGACTACAAGTAGCAGCACAATCCTCGTAAAAGCTGCCGCTTTTAGATTTATTACTCCTGGGAGAGAAGGCCGAAAGAGGCCTGACGTGTCCACCTTGTGAGACGTACAGACAGAGACCAAATGGCTTCTGGCTTACAAGACATTTTTTTCTGGAGACTTTGGCATCTGCTTTCGCCTTCTGTTTTGAGCTGGACCATATGATGGGATCGCTCGACAGATCTCATCCGCTGTCCTCGTCATCTCACCTCGTCAGTCAGCAGTGGCAACATTCAGTGTTCATAGCTACTGTTGCTAATAAACACAGAGGACTTTTCTTTACCCTTTAGGTTCATTTATTTTCTTTTTACACTAAAACACTGTTTTGGTTTCAAATACTGTAAATGTAATTTTCACCTTTTCATCTCATCTTTCCTCATTGAACTAAATGAAATACAAATAGTCTGTCCCAGCACTACCCCGACCCTGTCAAAAAAACATTTTTTGCAATTTGTTTTTTAATAGAAGACCCAGCACTCTATAATATTGCACATAAACAAACATACATTCATTTCATAAGTAAATAGAATGTAAACAGTGAAACAGTTTTTTTACATGTTTTGGCTTCAATTCAATGGTCATTGTGTTGCTCCTTGTTACCATTTCTTTAATTTTACAATTGTATTAATAATAATTACTTTTATACATTTCATGTAATACTTGTCATCCACATGAGGTTCTTAATATTAGTGAACACTAACTTTAATTCGAAGAAAATTTTATATCGGCACCAATAATAACCAATATTAGTCTTTGATGCTATGGTGTTAAGTGCAAGGTGTGTAAGCTCTTAAGTAGCATTTTTAACTCAACTCAACTATTTTGTATTGATGTTTTATTGAAAGAACCTATAAAAATGTGTTTAAAAAGGAACTATAGAAATAAAAAGGAACCACAGAAATACAATTATTATTAGTACAAATTCAAATTCTGTAAAGTTTACAAGTTGCAAATTATAAAAGCTTAGTTTGTTGCACAATAATAATCATCATCATCATCATCATCGTCAAAAAATACATCCAGAAATATATTAACAAAGACGAATTTGAAGGAAAAGTTACACTGATCATAATTTTCTTCTTTTTTTTTTTACCTCACAAGAAAGACTCACAGTCAAGTTGAGCATCTTCCTTTCTCCTGCTACAAAGTAACAATCTGGGTCTGCCATTGCCAATACTGAAGTTAGCCCTCCCTTTGCCCTCGGCCCACCGAGCACGACAATGAGACATGGAGAACACACAGAGACATTTGGACTGCGTGTATCAATTTAAAAATATGGCAAAGGGCCAATCACAGAGTAGCCAGAAGACAAATTAAGCGAGGACCTTCCCCCGTAGAACGTCCTTGAACAGATTAGATGCAAGGAAGCAAGGATGAAGCTGTCACAACACTCCTCTTTTCTTTGGCGTCTTTCAATATTTCACTTTTATTTCATTCCACAAACGGAATGCGAATCAGAATTCCGTGTTTAAACTTATAGAACATATTCATATAAATAATTTTTTTCATCGACTTTCCCTTTCAGAAATATATTTTGAGGGTGGAAAAAAAAAACCTAATTGTAGAAACCAACAATTGCTTGTGTTAATCCAACCCAAAAACGTACACAGTACAGGTTATTCTGAATGTATCATGACACTACTTTACTGTAAATTGCATTTATTTTTAACTCAACTCAACTATTTTGTATTGATGTTTTATTGAAAGAACCTATAAAAATGTGTTTAAAAAGGAACTATAGAAATAAAAAGGAACCACAGAAATACAATTATTATTCGTACAAATTCAAATTCTGTAAAGTTTACAAGTTGCAAATTATAAAAGCTTAGTTTGTTGCACAATAATAATAATAATCATCATCATCTTCAAAAAATACATCCAGAAATATATTAACAAAGACGAATTTGAAGGAAAAGTTACACTGATCATAATTTTTTTTTTACCTCACAAGACAGACTCACAGTCAAGTTGAGCATCTTCCTTCCTCCTGCTACAAAGTAACAATCTGGGTCTGCCATTGCCAATACTGAAGTTAGCCCTCCCTTTGCCCTCGGCCCACCGAGCACGACAATGAGACATGGAGAACACACAGAGACATTTGGACTGCGTGTATCAATTTAAAAATATGGCAAAGGGCCAATCACAGAGTAGCCAGAAGACAAATTAAGCGAGGACCTTCCCCCGTAGAACGTCCTTGAACAGATTAGATGCAAGGAAGCAAGGATGAAGCTGTCACAACACTCCTCTTTTCTTTGGCGTCTTTCAATATTTCACTTTTATTTCATTCCACAAACGGAATGCGAATCAGAATTCTGTGTTTAAACTTATAGAACATATTCATATAAATATTTTTTTTCATCGACTTTCCCTTTCAGAAATACATTTTGAGGGTGGAAAAAAAAACCTAATTGTAGAAATCAACAATTGCTTGTGTTAATCCAACCCACAAACGTACACAGTACAGGTTATTCTGAATGTATCATGACGCTACTTTACTGTGAATTGCATTTATTTTTATCTGATGTTGTTATTTATACCTATTTCCTTATTATTATTATTATTGTTACTTATTTTTACTTTTTATTTTTATTACTTATTATTATTACTTATATCAGTTTTGTTCTTCTGTTTCTCCCTTTCATGATGTTTGCTGCTGTGAATTGGGAATTTCTCCGTTGTGAGACAAATAAAGGTTTTCTTATCTTTTCTTATCTTGATAGACATGCATTTACATTGCCTCACATTTTAAAACTGTACGTTTATGCACCTGCTGCTTTCACTCATTAAACACAAACAAGTGCTGTATCAAGTACGGTATCTATCTTCAATCACTACATCGCACCGCCACATTACAAAATGTAACCCCACTACCAAGCACACATTCCCAATTTCAATCAAATAAAAATGAAAAATCGAGTGCGTTTTAGCATATGAAGATACATAAACATATACGTGATGAAATGTATGACTCGTAAAAGAAATGCAAATGAGTTCTGAGGCGGTTGTCTTGATCGACAATGAGCAAGAGCCAGGTGTCATCAATCAACACGTGACTGTTGCGCTGGAATAAAAGCAGCTTGCTGAAACCCCACTTCAGGCACTTTTTTCCCCATTTTGAACCTCCTGGCAAGGTATGTAGCACTGGAACCTGGAGAAGCAATCGTGATGACTTAAGGTTTGTGTGTGTGTTATTTGGTGACTTTGTGGATGACTGTATTTGCGTCAGCTGTCAGGGTTTTGATTTTTTTGGGGGGAATTTTTTTTTTTAACCCCCGCTGCCTCCCGCCCTCACCTCCCCAAGAGGTCCAACTAATGGAAGAATAAATATATACTATATATTTTTTTTATGTTGTGGGTGACATGGTCCCAGTTCCTTCAAACAATTCTTTTAAGTCTGATGTGTCAAACTTTAAGGCCTTGTCATTTTATGGCTGAAAGCGTGCTACAGTAATCCCTCGTTTATCGCAGTTAATGGGGACCAAAACCACCCACGATAAACGAAAAGCCACGAAATAGCGACCATTAACATATACAAGTTAATTTTTTTTTTTTTTAATAACGGTCCTCGAGAAGCTGCAAAACGAACGGATGCAGATTAAAAATGATGGCAATTTTGAACGAAAACGTTTTTGCAGCAGGTTTCTCAAACCAAGAGCTTGTGGACGGAGTGACATTCAAACACAGAACTGTTTTAGCTTCACTAAGCATGCAAGTGTTGTGATCACTGTACCCCCCCCCCCCCCCAAAAAAAAACAATTTCAGAATTTTGATCAAAAGCAATGGTAATTAGGTAATACAATGTACCCCACACTGAACATTTTAGGAATGGAACCTCATGCACAGACGCTGTGCAGCTCAGCTTCTTGCTAAGAAAAAAAAAAGTCTAAATGCAACTTCAGAAATGACCTGCCCTGGGCTCTTATGTTGCCAAATGCAATAACGAATGCTATTTGGTTTTTATAATATTCACCCAGTTGTAGCTGTTGCCCAAGTAAAATAAAAGTGAGCCTTTTACAGGTGAACTTTGACTATCTTGAAACTTAATGCCCCACCTGTCCAGTGTTTCAATACTTTTTGCAAAATATGCTATTTATGCCTTTCTGTGACTCTTCCAGTATCTGTTGCAACCTGATAATTACCCTTGACGATCAGTTGATGCTTCTCTCTGAAAACTTGCAATGGTACTGGCTCAGCTATTGTAAGGTGTGGTAATTGGCTGATATTAAAATGTGTGTCTGACCATTTTATCCTAATTGAAGCAGGAAATGTATTTGATTCCTGGATCGCTTGTGGAAGAACAAAGTGCTGCAACACTGCACTGTTGGGCAGTTTTAACGTTTACCCGTCAAGGCTGTATTAAGTTCTTTCAAAAGACAAATATATTCCCAGGTTTTGTGAGGAGTATATGGTCTTCAAACCCACCCCTCCAAGAAGTAATTTCACTCTGCATTTTGGACAGAAACACCACAGCGCCTGAAGATGTCTGGCCGTGGAAAGAAAGTTGCTGCAAAGCCCAAATCTGCGGTTTCCAGACCTGTGCGGGCCGGCCTCACCTTCCCAGTCAGTCGCATCCACAGGTTGCTAAAGACTGGCAACTACGCTCAGCGTGTGGGCAACGGTGCGCCGGTCTACCTCGCCGCCATCTTGGAGTACCTATGCGCCGAGATCCTGGAGCTGGCGGGCAATGCCTGTCGCGAGAACAAGAAGCAACGCATCGCCCCTCGTCATATTCTGCTGGCGGTGAAGAACGATGAGGAACTCAACAAGATGTTTGCCGGTGTCACCATTTCAGATGGCGGTGTGATCCCCAATATCCATGCGGCACTCATTCCCAAAAGGTCCAAGCCCATCAGAGAGGAGATTACTGCTCAAGATACTCAGTCGCAAGGCTTTTAATTGATATTTGCAAAGGTTATTTTTAATACAATAAATATTTTTTCCAAATAACGCCTTCTACAATGCTTGAGTTTCTCAACCAAATATAAACCATACAAAATGTTCTTAATGCAAATTGATTTCAGTACTTCACACTGAAGATTGCAGGGATATTCACTGCTAACTGTTAAAGGTGTGGATCAGAACACTGTCAAAGGATTAAAAAAAGTAACAAAACTGAAGTCTGTACTACCACCTGCTGGTTGCGGGTTTTTTGTTTTTCATAAACAGTGGCAGAAACACAGGCTATTTGCAGAGTTAATATTTTTACATACTAATTCAGTGTACCTTCAAAATGCTCTTAGTAGTTTCAGCAAATCACCTGAAGCCCCAAGGTAACAGGTCAGTCTAAGACTAAAGGGTTGTGCCGGCTACATATGTGACCTTGAGTGCACAAGAAATCACTGATACCTCATTGCAGCCTCTCTTTTCTGAAACATGGTTGTCCCCTGACATTGCGGTTTCTTGCAAATCAAATTAGAGACATACAAGGTTATAATAGTTAAAAACTAGCGATAACACTAGTGGTGGCACACACGGTCCATGAATAATAGTTATTATTTCAAATAGTATGCTTATTAAAACAAATGTTCCCACAGTGACAAGAAACAGTCATGAAACAAACCCAGTCAGCAAAGGCATCTGGCCCGGCTTCGGCATGAAGCCGGCACAGCTGGCCTGGTGTCGGCAATGGCATAACGCATGTGGGCCGAACACGGCCCAGGCGTGGCAAAGGAGGCACTGGCTTGACTCTGGCAAACCAGATGAGGGCCGGTTGTGGCGTGAAGTATTTGGGCCAGAAATGTATTTCCAACTCCGGCCCGAATATGGCCAGCCAGTATTGAGCCACTCCTAAATGCAGTTTCAAATTTTTTACACACACACACACGTGTGTGTGCGTGTTTTGCACACGCACGTCCTAATTCTTGTGCACGCTCGCAAGTGTGTTATCTGTAACGCTGTCATACCAACAAGGCGTTTTTCCAGGAACGTAACTCGTGTCCTACAACTACAGCAACTACAATAAAACCCAGCAGTAATAAAAGATTAATTCGTCGCTTTTCGTTTTCAACAAAGAGAGTGTCGCTAAAATGATTAGAAGTCGTCTCCAGTTCAATTTAGAACATAATGAGAAATTCTCATTGAGAATTGAAAGTGCTCCCACGGATGCCGACACTAAAAGATCGGTGATTGGCTTATTTCGATGTCAATCCAACAGGAACACAGGCTCAGACAGATCACCCAATCTGATGCTGAAA